GGAGTAAATAATACATTCATGGAAACATTTTACCAAACAGTTCCATAAACATAGAACTTCAGAGGTGTGTTTGTGTGGATGTGTGTGTGTGTTTAAATCTAGCTCCAAAAATAGAGTAGAACGGAAGAACTTTTGTTAGAGAAGCCAAGCTTCAGATCTGAAAAAGAAGGGATGAACTCCCATCGAGTCTCCTTGTACTAAAGTGGAATTTCAAAGTTCAGAAAAAAGACACTTTTTCTCTGGAATATGATGGTATTTGTATTAGTGCTTTACAACCTTCAAAAAAAGCTTTCTCATAGTCTAATTTGAAAATAGGTTAAACAAGCTCTAAAATATAGTATGTAAAACTTTGAAAATTCTTAGAAATTTAGGAAACTTTCTCCAAAGAAGATAATATAACTTTAAACATTTTTTTAATTGAAGCAATGGCTTGTATTGCTGCTATGAAGGAAATTGTATATTGATATATTTTATGAACCTCTAACAAAACAGGAATATCTTCCCAAGAATTTTTTTAAAAAGATGTACAGCTTTAACACGTTGAAATTAAATTTTAGTAAGAGTGCATATTTACTTTTCTTAATTCCATATCTGTGCTTAATCAGATCTGATTAAACTGAATCACAATCTTTGAGATGAAATCAAATGTTCTAGTTTTACAAAAGCCCAATATTAATGAATGTTGACTGAACCGTTCACTTTCTGATCCACACTTCTATGCGCCAAAGAAATAGAGGTAGGCTTGTGTTGACTGAATTACAGACTGGTAAAAAAGAGACCTGTAGCCTGTAGTCACCCCATCATCGACTGAGACACAACCTAACAAATAAGATAACTAGTTTTAAAACGCCTTTCTTTATAATAATCAAGGCTGATTCAACTGTGATATGTGACAATGGTATTCTTCTGTAATTCTGATTACACAAAATAAATACCTTGTCATTGTAACTATAAATGCTCCCAAGAGCAGGATCACTTGACAGAGAGAGTGAAAACAATGAGTTTTATTATAGGTGGATCTTGACATAATAAAAACTGAAACTTGTTTATTGCTATAACTGGGATCCAACAAATACAATTTATTATTTTGAACTACTGGCAAAGTACTATATGGCCTCCCAACTTAACTGTACTAGCCTCTTGGGTCTGGAATACTTTTCCTTCTATCAGTCCCCTCCTCTTTCACTTCTCTCCTTTATTGTTTCCCCCCGAAAAGCCCCTTCAGGGCCCAGCTAGTTATATATATGGTGCATAAGGAACAGGCCAAGCACACATTTTGCACAGACGGGCCAGTCTCCATTGCCCAGGGGCTTCACTGAACATTACTGTCAGGAACCACAAAACCTGGCCCCTGCTGTCTCCCTGGATCCCCAGTGCAAAATCCTCTAAGGACTGTCACCCAAAAGTCTCCCTCTGAACAAAGTTTTCAGCAGGGTTTTCTCAAGGCAGGGGGACACTTCAGTGGAGGTGAAGAGTGAGTGAGGCCCTTCACACCATCAGGTAATACTCACTGCCAATTGTGCACAGACAGCATTTATTCCTGCCCTTCCCCAAGGGTGCTAACCTTCAAACTATGAAATGTAACCAGTCTATTTCGGTTAAAAATGTTTCCTTTAAACAGTTTTAACTGTGTGTCCAGCCAAGGATTTCATCCATTTTATATGGCTGTTGGGATATAGCATCCTTCACATACATCTAAAATAGTTTATTCTTCCTATTAGTTTTTACTAATATCTGACTATAATGATTTCATTTTTGTTACATGAAAATTAGTTATTATTCAAAAGTATAGTCACAACACCTGTTTCATACAGTTCTAGTGTTTCCACAGACCCAGGAACAAAAATAATAAACAGTGGGATACCTAAAAGAAGAAAATAATTTCTATTTAAAATGAAGTAAAACCTAAGTATTCACTTCAAAAGTGCAAAAATGTGTTCAGTGTTGAAGTGGGGTAGGCCAAGTGAAGTGGCAGCTTTCCTATCTGCCTCTTTCTCCTTCTGAAACTTCTTAACATTTCTTTCCACACATCCTGCCCTCTCTACCCCTTGGTGACAGAATTAGGAAAAACAAAAAACTTCTGTTTAGAAGATGCCATGGCAAATTAAAAGTATCAAGGAAATAGTTATATGCCACCAAGGAGCTCTGTTGGGGCTGTGTTTAAAGCATTAGGCTGCAAACCAATAAGGTCAGCAGTTCAAATTTTACCAGCTGCTCCAAAGATGAGGCAGTCTGCTTCTGTGAAGATTTACAGACTTGGAAACCCTATGGGGCAGTTCTAAGTGTCCTACAGGGTTGCTATGAGTTGGAATCAACTCAATGGTAGTGTGGGGGTGGGAGAAGGTGACAGGCACTGGGATGGCACTGTGTCCCACGCTACTGATTATATCGAAGCTGCATAGCTGTGTTTATATATGCCTTTACAGGGCTTGCTTAATAAAAATGAAAAAATTAAAAATTATAAAGTAGCTCACTCAAGTTTATCTACTTTCCTAGGAAAAGAATGCTTAAAGCAAATAAAAGTTCAACTTATGTTTTTCCCCAAGTGGGAAAAGAGTGCATTAGTTAAAAGAAGTCAGAAAATGCAAATTTAGGTAGCAAAAATAGGAAGACTCTCCCATATCTCCTCTCTATAGTCATTCTCTCTCCCCAGTTAAGATCCTAAAACAACTATTACTAGGAAAGAAAATGAAAATAATTGCACCTTTCCCACCTGCATCGCCTACTCCATTGCTGCAACTGTGCTTGAGGCTCAAAATTGGACACCAGTGTTATCTCTATATTCGTGAAATACAGTGGAAGCTTTGGAGTTAGATGAAGAAAGCAAACGAGCCTCTTCTAGATGATACAATTCCCTTGAAAATATTGAGTATATTTTTTGGGTATGTTCTGAGTGGGGACAAAAGCAGATCTGGACTGTTAAGACTCACACACAAACTTCTCTTAAGCCCCACAGGGATACTTAACACGGTGGTAGGTACAGGGGCTTAAGACAAGTACCTAATGACTAATGTTAGAAGAGGGAGTAAATGAAAGAACCTACAATATAGTTCAAAGTTAATACCTTAAAGGCTATTGATAACATAGTTATGGAAGATAATCATTGCTAGGGAGTCTCACATCTAATAATTTTGTATGGATTGTTTGGATTACCTATGATAAAATTTTAATTCCAGGGAAGCATTTGCTCTGTGCACACCACTCATAGAGTAGGCCATCTCCTACTAATGCTTAGCCTATATTTGTGTCCTGAAATTGACGAGAAGATGAGGAGAAAGTGTATTCCAAAGTCAAACATACAACTCATAAATGAAAACTACCTATAGAGTACCTACCTTGCTGTAAGATTTTAATCCAACATTAAAAACATGATATAAAGAAATATGTAGCATAGACACAAGCTATTGTAGGTCTGGAACATGAGCCTCACACTATATTACACTTTCTAACCTACACAGAGCTATTAGTAAACATGTCTTTTAAACATTATTACACAAAAGAATCTCACAAAGCATACATTCAAACGAGGCATCTAAAAGATTAAAAAAATTACCCGCTGTATTTCTGTATAAAAATAATCAACATTCTCTAATGTACACAAAGCCAAAAGATAAATATCTGTGATGTCTTTACTGACATCTTTAGTCTTCTACTAGCTCAACACAATCTTTCTGAAAAGGGCAGTGGAGGTGACTGAAACTCATGGACTCCTTCCCCAAATATCTGTAGTATGTTCCTTCAATTATTAAAGTATCTCAATTATGTGGTAAAGATATATGAGAAGATTAAAACAAAACCTGCATAATCTTCTCAAATAAGAATTTTTGATATCCAGGACTATAAAGCTCTCAGGGCTTCTACAAATGATTTTAAGTATAAATTCTATAGAATACTAACTTTGCTCAGTGAAAGATTTTGCTTTGACATTTTTCCTTAAAAATGTACTTACAAAATTAGATTCAACCTTCCAAGATATAGCACTTGGTAAGTGCTTTGCAGGAAGCATGAAAGGGTTTGTAAAGGAAAAAGAAATAAGCATTCTAGCTAGCTAGCTAGCCCCAGCATGTTCAACACTAGAAAAAAACCAAACAACCACCACATATCCTCTACAAAGTATTTCCTTGACACACAAGGTTGTGCACTGGTTCATAAGGTATAATCATCCTATGCCTTCATCAGTGGAGAGGAGCACAGAGATATGAAAGAGGAATCAGATAAGTACTTTATGAGAGTTATTTGGAAGCTATTCCTTATTTTATAGGCCAATTCAATGAAGATTCACCACCACCCCTTTCTAGTATGCATAAAACTAGAAAAAATTCTTTAGCAGACCACTGATGCTACCTGAATACTCCTTCCATTTGTATATGCATTCCTTATTATGCGCCATCATTACAGAACATCCCTCTAGGTGAAAAAGAGCAATACTTCACCCCCTTCATTCTGTATCAGCATTTCTTAACCTCAGCACCACCGACATTTTGAACTGGCTAGTCTTTGTGGTGGAAGGCTGTCTGGTACGCAACAGGGTGTTTGGCAGCAACATCCCTAGTTTCTACCCACATCAGTAGCAATCCCCACCCCACCCCAAGCTGAGACAACCAAAATGTCTCTAGACATTGCCCAATGTCCCGTGGGAAGCAAAATTTCCCTCCCGTTGAAAACTGCTGCTCTACATGTACAAAAAAATGAGAGAAAACTAACTTTCTCAGTCAAACAAAACTCTTGGTAAAGTATAGAACAGAAACCAACCCATCTGACTTCCAGATCAGTACTGTTCATGCTAGAATGCAGTCCTTTTGATAGGCAAAGTATTTTGTCTAAACGACTGGGTTTTTTAAAAATGCACACTGATATTTCATTACATATGATTCCAGTCACTGGACTCCTAAATTATTCCATGACATAGCTCTTATGATAACCTGTAGAAAACTAAGTAAACAGGGTACAAAAATTTATAAGAAAAATGAATCAAAAGAAGAGAAATGTAAATCATTAAATTACTTTTAAAATGATTCTTTATATTAATGCAAGCATCACCTTTGAAAAAATTATCTAGTACAACATGTTTGTTTGAAAAATATCATGATCCTCTATAACAAGTCTTTCACTCTTGCATGTAACCTATAAAATTTATTTCACCAATGTTGGCCAATTATTAAAATGTATGTATCTATAGAAGAAATGCCAACATTCATTTGCTGCAGAGATCCCAATGTGCTTGGCTATCCACCACAGTAAGTGTAATATTCTAGGCAGACTTGGGTCTTTACCTGACAAGTCTGTTTGAGAAGAGTAAAACTGCTGTTAACACAAAGTCTCACGTTCCTGTTAAGATTCCTTCAGAGAGTTGATGCGGGCACAGATCTTTAGGGCTGGGCCTAGCTTGATATTCATAGCACTCATGAGGTGGTCTTCTTTTAGCAGAAGAAGGGCCTGTCCATCAATCTCCTGTGCTCTGAACTCATCTGCGATATCCTGGCAGCCTAGAATTTGATGAAGGGAAGGAAGTTAGAAGTAAAACACAACAATTAGATGATGCTCCTAACAGTCAGTTATGGATCTGAGTGTCTGAAATACAGGCTGAGAAACAAATGAAATTTATTTATGGTAGTCTTGAGTTCACTCCTGAAGAAGAGAATATTTGTTGGGATTCTGAAAATAAGAATTAATTCAAAACCCAGGTAAAGCCATTTACTTGGAATTCCTGTTCTAAAAATGTTATAGAACTAATTAATTAGTAATAGTTAGGTACAATGTACAGAGTGATCAGGCTAGAGAAAACATATATCCTTCATGAAAAGGACTATGGTGTCACCCCAAAGCATGCTACAACATAGAGCAGGCATGATTAATTAGTTATAATGCCTCAGAAATTTATCTTTGTATAATATACTCTTTACAAATTACATATACAGAGGAATAAATACAGTAAAACCTGTGAATGTCAGAGCCTGTATAAGGCAGAAGCCTGTCAAAGAAGGAAAACTCAAGTATTTTCCAATAAATATAAAAAAAGAAGTGGTAAAACTGCACCCACTTAAATTTGCAAGATCCACAAAAACATGGCAGTCCTGGAGAGTTCTGGCACTCACAGGTTTCACTGTGTAATGTTGTGCCGCAAAATAACAATCGAGAAATATTCTCTCAAGTGCCAGAGCACCACTTTCATAATCATCTGTACTGCATTCTAATTTACAACCTTCAGCTGTCAAGCACTCAAAAACATTTTTATTGTTTACTCAGGACAGAACAAATCCATCAAGACTGTAGTTATCTATCTACTGCAATGCTGCTGAAATGTTTCAAACACTACTCAACTTGCGATTTTAACTTACAGTCTTGATACTACTAATCAAGGTCACTGGCAGGAACTGGACTCATCTTCTGATAAAAAAACAAATTTTCATTAAAATTATAAGCTTGCTGGCTAATAATTTTGTAGGTGCCAATCAACCATTATTTTAGGCCTCAGTCTAAACCAGGTGCTTTACCAGGTAACAATGCTCTAGCATCCTCCGGAACCTCAAATGTTTTTACTGTCTGCCATATTCTGCATATCCAGGTTACTTAATAAACTTCCCCATTAAGGTTAAAGAAACCAGTTGTGAAGGCAACAAATTAAGGAGCCAAGAGAGGAGAGAAGGCAAAAATGTAGAAGTTTTCTTGTAAGAGATAGCAAAATTATAATAGAAAGTAACAGCTTAAACTGTTTCTATTTTATTCAAGTCCATTATTTATTTTATTCTAAGTGAAAACAGAAAGATAATGAAAAAATGGAAATGGTTCCATTACACCTTTGGATCTACAAGCTTTGCTGGGATGAGTATCTTTTGTACTGTAAATGTTATCATCCTCTTGGGCACAAAGCAATGTAGGTGCTAAAACCATGTATTTTTTAATAAATGAAGGATTGACTGAAACAACAGATGAGTGAAACTACTGCTATAGAAGAGCTATCTGTACAAGGACTACAAACATTTTTTTCCTGTGTCCGAGTGGCCATTTTTTCTCTTGGTTTTTGTTCTCCCATCTCCTCTGTTGGCTATATCTTTCCTGTTTCCCATATAGCAGCCAGCTTTTTAATTTCTCTATTTTAAGAATATCTCAGATTTTAAAAAATTGATATTTCAGCACTCTCTATAAAGATTTATGGTTTTTCCCATTTACCATAAAAAAACTAAATAGTTAAAGTGGGGTTACTCACCATAGAAAAGCCCCTTTTCTTTTCCCAGAGGTAGCTCTCAACAAAACTGGGCAGACAAAACTGACTAATCTTGCATCTAGTTGTGACTTCATCCTTCTTTTTATGAAAGAACTAATATTCTTCTCTCTTCAGTCTTACTTACAAGAACACAGGAAAGAAAAGAAGAGAGAGAAAGATAGAGTAGGACTTACTTAGATTCAGAAAACAGGAGCAATGAGAATTAATAAGGATCATAAGAGCTACATTTGGGAATAGAAACAAGGAATTCTCCATGAGGCAAATATACAGCATGTTCTTGTTCCATTGTATTTTGAGATCCCTTTTCAAATGTGTTTTTGTAGGTGGTCAGTAAATATATCAGCAAAATAATAAAGAACAAAAAGTTTTCTGGGAAACCACATAATCAAACAGGAATACATTATCATTGAAATTTTAGACAACTTTCTGAAGCCAACCACAGACAAGGGTGTAGTTAGTTACATTAGTATAAAAATGAGATAATAACGTTATTTTTAAAAAAAGCAGAAGCATGTTTCCAGAAATTCGTTAGAAAAAAATGAATTAAAAATTTTAGGTATTTATGGTATACTGAGCTAATGGTATTCTGTGAGTTTCTGACATTAGCATCTATTTCTGCAAAATAGCTGCAGATGTAGAGATGTGTACAAAGCACATACCAACTGAAGCACCATTCAGCTCAGCTAGCTCTCTCTCTCGCCAGCAGCAAGTACAGTGCAGCTCCCAGTATGGTTCTGGACCTCTGCACATGGGTCCCAACTGAACCTCCCAAGGGAGAGTCATTTCTCCAGCTAAACAAAATAAACCCAAAATAAAAACTGACCTCTCCCACACAAAAAGTGACTGAAAATTGGTAAAAAGCTATCACCTATCCCTCATACTATAGAATAAAGGAAGTCTCAATATTAGTATTATGGAAACCAAAAAAGAGTCATATTTTTTAGACAATTCTTATTTTACAGGCCCACAGAGAAACCAAATCTGCAGATTCACAGATCAATAAATAGAGAATAAATTGATCTTTGCAAATGGCAGTGCACTGTACCAAGAAAACTAAAGAAGATAAACTGCAGTTAACTGAAAAATAAAGAAAATTATGCCTATATCAATCCTTTTAATGCATATAAAAAAGTTAGAAGAAAATAATTTTCACTCTGATAGTTGCTCTGCAATTTGGGCTGCTGAATCGACCATGATCCCACCAAGAGGGTTCTCAAGATGGCATTGTACAAAGAGAAGGCAAACAGCAGGAGTAAATACAGGTGCCCTGCTCAAAGAGGGAAGCCTATGACAAAATTTACAAACATCTTCATTTTGTAAGAAAAGTTTGGGAGCAGGATGATAACTAGTCAGGGAAGAAAAAAACAAAAACTACAACAGCCCTGAATGGCTGAAAGATGCCTAAAAGGAAACTTACAAAGGCAAGAGAGCATAAAGAAATGAAGATAAAGGTATTTTCTAGTAAAAGATTTACTTTAAGCTACAAGAATTATTCAGCAAAATCCTTTAAGAAAGAAGATCTAGCTGATCACACAAATAAGCTTGTTATCTGGTCTATCAAGGCAGTTTGTAAATACTCCCACTTAATCAGTAAAAGAAAAGCAGAGTTATATTAAGAAAACAGTTACACAGTGCAAATCAATTCTTAATTATAAAGTTGACTCCTTTTAATGAATCTAATGTTCTCTGGCAACAAAATTAAGTATCTAGAGGAACTCAATAAAACAAGTAACTCAAGTTATAAACAATAAAAAAAAATTTTAATGCAAATGAAGCAAGAATGAGGTAAAGGAGTTTAGCCTTTCTTCTAATAAAGCAGACAAGAGTACACTCATACCAACCGGATGCTGTGGAAAATCAAAAACTAGCCTAAAAAGCATAAATGATCGAAGAATCAGTCATTTCTATTATTTGTTACTTAGTTTGGCAACTATTTTCTTCAGAAAATAAACGAACACCGCCTACCCCTGAAAAAAGACGAGAAATATTTTCCCCCAAATGAGAAATCAGGTTCACAAAAAAGATAATGTGTCCCATTTGGAAGACTGAAACTGCTTCTGAAAATACCAGAATCAAATCCCAGCCACAGGTGATGGTACAGATTCCACTGTTAATTCTCAAGATACCTGTACTGGTCTAAAACCAAAATTTGTTTATGTTAAAACCACAAGCAGTGAAGATTCACCATTCTCTAATACACTGGTTTTAAAGCAAATTCTAAACCCACATGGTTGACAGTTATTTAGACTCTATGTCTTCTTAGGCATGTTATTTAGACTCTATGTCTTCTTAGGCATGTGCTTAAAAGTCTTCCCATGAAGAATGTATCCCCTTTAAAAGTGACTATATAT